CGGCCAGGCCCGGAGCAGCGGCTGCCAGGCTGGGAGCGGCCAGGCCCGGGGGAGCAGGCAGGTCGGGTGCGGCCAGGCCCGGAGCAGCGGCTGCCAGGCTGGGAGCAGCCAGGCCCGGGGGAGCAGGCGGGTCGGGTGCGGCCAGGCCCGGAGCAGCGGCTGCCAGGCTGGGAGCGGCCAGGCCCGGGGGAGCAGGCGGGGCTGGTGTGGCCAGGCCCGGAGCAGCGGCTGCCAGGCTGGGAGCGGCCAGGCCCGGGGGAGCAGGCGGGTCGGGTGCGGCCAGGCCCGGAGCAGCGGCTGCCAGGCTGGGAGCAGCCAGGCCCGGGGGAGCAGGCGGGTCGGGTGCGGCCAGGCCCGGAGCAGCGGCTGCCAGGCTGGGAGCGGCCAGGCCCGGGGGAGCAGGCGGGGCTGGTGCGGCCAGGCCCGGAGCAGCGGCTGCCAGGCTGGGAGCGGCCAGGCCCGGGGGAGCAGGCGGGTCGGGTGCGGCCAGGCCCGGAGCAGCGGCTGCCAGGCTGGGAGCGGCCAGGCCCGGGGGAGCAGGCGGGGCTGGTGCGGCCAGGCCCGGAGCAGCGGCTGCCAGGCTGGGAGCGGCCAGGCCCGGGGGAGCAGGCGGGTCGGGTGCGGCCAGGCCCGGAGCAGCGGCTGCCAGGCTGGGAGCGGCCAGGCCCGGGGGAGCAGGCGGGGCTGGTGCGGCCAGGCCCGGAGCAGCGGCTGCCAGGCTGGGAGCGGCCAGGCCCGGGGGAGCAGGCGGGTCGGGTGTGGCCAGGCCCGGAGCAGCAGCTGCCAGGCTGGGAGCAGCCAGGCCCGGAGCAGCAGCAGCCAAGTCCAGAGCAACTAGGTCGGGAGCGGCAGTGACCAGACCCGGAGCAGCTGGTTGTGGAATGAACCAGAGCAACAGAGGCCAGGCCCTGAGCAGCCAGGCCCAGAACAGCTCGCTCCTTGCCTGCCCCTGCCCCACGGCTGCTTCTCAGACATGGCTGGAAACTTTCGTGGGAACTTGAGGATCTGCTGAATCAAGTGATGAAGGCTTAGATCTGGATGTGTTGAGTTAGTTTAGGACTGGGTTTTTATCTGTGAGTGCCTTGGGTGGGGCCTGGATGAGGCTGGTTGACCTATTGGGAAATGTCTTTTGTGTGAAGTGTATCATTGGGCATGTGGAGGTATTATTGATATGAGAAAATGCTAAGTAACTGATTTACTATCTGAAAAGGGATTTACTATTGGGGAAATTGAGGGAAGAAGAGACTGAACATAAACTGCACCTATGGATGAGGACAATGGGGGATAGGGAGGGGGCAGAGGGTGGGGTGGGAACCTGGTGGAGGGGGGAAGAAATGAGGAACCTTTGTAATAATATGAACAATAAAGATTGATTTAAAAAAAAAAAAAAAAAAAAAAGAGAGAGAAAGCCAGGAAAGAAGCATGTGGGAGGGGACACCGCGCTTGTAAACAGGATGGTGACACAGACCTGGAGGAAGTGAGGGAGGGTCACGTGGGGGAAGAGGAAGCTGCAGGGCACAGGTCTGGGGCAGGAGCACGCCCATTGTGCTCCACGGACAGCCAGAAGCCAGAGTGGCCGGAGCACCTGCTGCGAGGAGAGGGAAGGAGGAAGGCCAGAAAGGTGATGTCATTTCCTCTCAGTAAAGTAAGGAGTCATCAGAGGGTTTTGAATAGAAGGGTGACATGATATGACTTAGATTTTAAGAGAATGGACTGTGTGCTGAGAATGGACTGGGAGGAGCAACAACAGAAGCAGGGGGGCCAGGGAGGAGGCTGCTTTAGAAATCCAGGAGGAAAAGGAGTGTGGCTTGGGCCAGCGTGAAAAGAAGTAGCCATTTCTGCACATAATTTGAAGATAGGACAGAACCAGTAGGATTTGCTGATGGTTTGAATTTAGAGAAAGAGGAGAGTCAAGGAGGATTCCACATTTTTGTTGTTGTTGTTTTTTTATTAAAAAAAAAATCAGGCTTGTGGAGTAGTTTACATACAGTAAAATTCACCGTTTTGAGTGTGTAGTTCTATATGTTTTGAAAAATGCATTCAGTTATATAACTTCCACCTAAATCATGATAAAGAGCCAGTTCCATCCTATGAAACAAAATCCCATTTTCCCTTTGCGGTCAATCCTTCCCCCATTCCAACCCCTGGCAGCCACCCATCTGCTCTCTGTCCTTACAGTTGTTTGCCTTTTCCACGATGTCTTATAAATGGAATTAAACATTGTGCAGCCTCTTACGTTTGGCTTTTTCTCCTGCATTCAAATCTAGGAGGAGGAGGAAGGTGGCAAAGGCTAATGTCCCTTTGATCAGGAAAAAACAGCTTGCCAAGAAGCCACCCCTCAGAAATCCGCTTTCCTCTCACTGGCCCACACTCAGTCCCACAGGCACTGGTGGAGTATTTGGCTTTTCCAATCTCTAAGGTGGAGGAAGCCAAGGATGGGGATCGGAATGGGTGTTAGCCGAGCCAACCAAAGAAGTCTGCCACCTAGAGGAATGTTCTGGGATTCAATGTGCTTCTTCACACTCTTCTGGGTGCAGAGTCCCAGGGGCCGGGAGGGAAAGTCCCCTCGATGGCCAGAGATCTGAGGAAGGAGCCTGTGAGGAGCCATAGCCAGACCTCCCAGCCTGCAGCGAAGTCAGCATCTGCTGTCATGACCTCTGTCACTGAGTGTCTCCACCCCTGCCCTGGGGAAGGTCAGAGGGACTCTCTAGAGGGCTGTTCATTGTGGGAGGCCAAATGTGAGAGGAGACATCTGCCTGGATGGGCACATTGGCCCTATTCCCCCAGGGAGGAGACCTCTCTGGAGGGAACAGCTGAGCAGGCCGCAGGGCCTTGTCTGCAGCTTCCTGAGGCGGTGGCACCTGCCGAGCCAAAGCAGCGAGGCCTTCCCACCGAGAGCGGCCTGGCTCTGGGGCGTGTTCCCGGGCCCCCCTCCAGTCAAGGAGCAAAGGGGCTCCTCTGGGGTGTGGACCCTGCAGGGCGGGGCTGGCTACATCCCCGCCTCCTGAACCCCCCGCACCCCCTCCCGTCCTGATTGGGAACGGGGGAGTCAGGGGGAGTCCTGTCAGACTTCAGAGCCCCTGCTCCCCGCTCCAGGCCCAGCCTGTCTCGGGCTCCCTGAGCTGGGAAGAAGGGAGACCTCAGGTCCAAGGGCGTCCTAGAGGCTGATTATCCAATTCAGAGAAAACCCACCTCAGCCAGGCGCACCCTGCCATCGTCCATGGGGCCACTTCTCCACCCGGGCAGGCATTCCCCTGCATCCCTTTCTCAGAGGCTTTTGTCAGAATGTCACTTTAACCAAGACTGGTTTGGCTCAGTGGATAGAGCGTCGGCCTGCGGACTGAAAGGTCCCAGGTTCGATTCCAGTCAGGGGCGTGTACCGTGGTTGCGGGCACATCCCCGGTGGGAGGTGTGCAGGAGGCAGCTGATCGATGTCTCTCTCTCATTGATGTTTCTAACTCTCTATCTCTCGCCTTTCTTCTCTGTAAAAAATCAATAAAATATATTTAAAAAAAAAAAAAAAAGAATGTCACTTTAAGGCGCTCCTCTGTTTACGGAAGGGGAGGGAGGAGGGTGAGGAGACCAGAGTGACCGGTAGAGAGAGGACTAGGTCACCGAGGGGAGGCGCTGGGACTCGGCTCCCACCCACTCACTCCCCAGGCGGGTTCCCAGGTGAGCAGGAGGCCAGCGTCGCATCTGTTTGTTGATTTTAATAAAACCAACCCCCGCAACATTTCGTGTGATCTGGTGATAACCCGAGGGCAATCAAAACAACTGGAGCAAATGTTTAAGAAGAGTACTTCCAATACAGGGCACCAACCCACCAACGACACCTGCTCTCCCCTCTCAAACGTCACTCCGCCGCCTGGCTCTGGTCGGAGGCACGCCTCTCTGTGAGCATGGCTGGACCTGGTTGTTTCCTTGATTTGGCTTTAGAACGCATGCCCTTTTCATGAACTCTCCCAGGGATCCCCGGTGGACTCCGACGGGGGTCCAGATATGGGAGCGGAGAGGGGAGGAGGAAAAGGGCTGATCCAGGAGGAAGGAGGCCTCGCTGCAGAAGAGTGGACAGTGGAAAAGCACCCTTAGGGGCCCTAACCGGTTTGGCTCAGTGGATAGAGCGTCAGCCTGTGGACTGCAGGGTCCTGGGTTCGATTCCTGTCAAGGTCATGTACCTTGGTTGCAGCTGATTGATGTTTCTCTCTCATCAATATTTCTAACTCTCCCCCTCCCTTCCTCTCTGTAAAAAAAAAAGTCAATAAAATATTTTAAAAATTAAAATAAAAAAAGCATCCTAAGGGAACAAGAGTGTTAGCTGGGCCTCCCCAGGGCAGGAAGCAGGCGACTCTCCCCAGGGCAGGAAGCAGGTTGCTCTCACCCCACCCCTGTGGGTGCAGGCAGGTGACTCAAGCCCCAGATGAGGCAGGGCCCAAAGCTCTGCTGTCTCATTGTTGTGCTCCTTCCCCCACAGGGAGGATTCTCAGAATCAGCGGTGAGTCACCCGTGAGTCAGCCCCTGGGGGTGAGAGGCCTGGCCGCCTCCGCTCAAACCCTGGAGACAGGCCTCTGGGCGCAGGGGGCCTGGTTTCCCTGTTTTGGAACCCCAATGGGCAGGCCCTGCAGCCACCGGACCTGGGGGTCCTTCCCTGTGGCCGAGCTGGGTCTCCCGCCTCCTCTCTGTGGAAGGACCGTGCCAAGGTCAGGGGTCGGGATGCTGAACCCTAGGGGGACCCCAGCTTCCCAATGTCTCCATACAAGGGAGGGGGGGAAACAAGGTCGGGGGAATAAATAATTTATTGCAATTGGGGGAATAAATAAAATGTGCGGGCGGGATTACTGTAAATAACTGTAAAAATCATGAACATATATACACGAAGGCGCTCCCGGGCCCAGGGGCGGGGCCTGAGCCGGGGGCGGGGCGCGGGCGGGGCCTCCGCGCGGAGACCGGCGCCCGGAGAGGTAGACGCTTCGGGACAGCGGAGGGAGGGGGGTGGTACGTGGTCAGGCTGCGGGGCGCCCCCGGTGGACGCCGGACCCCGATGACCGCTCGCCCCCGCCCAGGTCGGCGTGCCCGCGGAGCTGCACCCCCTGCACGATCCTCCGCACCCAGGCGCGGTGCGCCTCCAGGCTGATGTAGACGCCGGGCCGGTTGCGCTCCGCACAGCCCTCGCCCCAGCTGATGATGCCGGCCAGCAGCCAGGCGCCCTCCACCTGGCACATCAGGGGGCCCCCGGAGTCGCCCTGCGGAGGGGAGGGCAGGTTAGGGACCCACAAATCATTTATCCCAGGGCCATTTATCCACCCTGGAAGCCCAGGCACCGAACTCCACCCTGGCAGGGAGGGCCGGGCAGGCCGCGCCTTCTGGGCTCACTTCTGGTGACAGACACCCTGGGTGACACCTCAGAGGATATTGCCCCTCGTTGTTTCTCGGATGGGGAACTGGGGCTCGGAAAGAAGACATGACCTGCCCAAGTTGCAGGGTAGAAGATGCAATCAGGCCTTGCAATGCCCAAGGCCAGGCACACTAAGCACCACCCTGCCATCCTCCACCCGTAACAGCTCCCTAAAGGGGGGGGGGGGGGGGGGGCGGGGAGAGGCTGGACACCTGAGGTGCCCAATGTATGAACAGATGGGGGAGCGACTGCACCCCCTGGAGGCCTGCTCTGCAAGCGTGAGCGGACTGCAGGCCACAGCGGGTCCTGGGAGGGGCCCAGCCCACCGGAAGGAACCTCGGGGAAGAAGGTGAAGTGCTCACCAGGCAGGCGTCACGTTCCCCCTCCAGGTAGCCCGCACACAGCATGTCCTCGGTGATGGCTTCCTGCCCGGCTCCCCGCCAGTACAGGCGGCCGCAGATCTCCGAGTCGATGATGGGAACCTTCAGCTTCTGCAGGGTCTGAGGGTGGGGCAGGGGCACTGGGGGCGGGGAGAGAGAGTCAGGCCTGGGAAGTCCTCCGGGTCACCTCCTTCCCTCTAGCAGCGCTTCTCAAAGGCGAATGGGTCACCCCTGTCAGGCTCTCCAAAGAGAGAAAACCCGAATGCCAGGGCTGCACCTCTGGCGCCACATCTTTGGGGGCGTGGGCGTGCAGCTTTAAGCTCCCAATTGTCAGACCAGATCTCTGATGGCTAGACCCAGTGGCCCAGGCTTGTCCTGTCTCAGGCACCCCTGTACCCAGCATGGGGACTGCTCCTGGTGATGTATTCAATAAATAGGCACTCAGTGTTGAATGTCATGAAAACTTGAAGGATTTCCTGACAACCTGGAGATGGGCGACTAGTAGACCCCTTCCCCGCCCCCACAGCCCATAGTTCCAGCTCTCACTGGATCCCCTAAGGATCATGGGGAGGCTGGCTGAAATCTGTCAGTGAGATCAGATATCCGAAATGGTGTCCTTTCTCTTAACTCTTCTGGAATCTGGTTGAAGTCCTATTTTTCTGATTTTTTTTTTTTTGTCCTTTCTTAGTCTCTTTCTCTCTCTCACCTATCTTTTTCTACTTCGCTGCCTCTTACGTTATCTCATCTGCTTTGTGCTCCTAGACGATGCTTTCCGAATCTCCAAACTTAGTTTGCAATTATAGTTTACAGTTATGGAGACTGCACTTCCTCCTGGGAGCTTTGCCTGCAATTACCGCGTGCTGCCACCAGGGGTGCCATTCCCACTTTGGAATCTTGGGGCTGTTTTCATAACTTATGGCGTTCAGCTGGGTTAGGGTTAGGGTTAGGGCTAGGGTTTGATCACTTAATATCTGTGTTGATCTGGCTGCTGTTGCCTCAGAACACAGCAGAAGTTGCCTTCGATTAAAAATGTCCGAAAACTGTCTGCCTAAGCTTCCGTGGTGCCACATCTTTGGGTTATAATCCATCTTTCTGTCTGTCTGTCTGTCTGCCTGTCTGTCATGCTTTGCCACTGGCCTCTAAGCTTTGCTTCCATGGCACCTGCGCCTCTCGGTGCCCACCACCCTGGGTCCGTATCCTCCTTATCTGCCCCCAGCCCCACGGTGGGGGAGAAACGCACCTCCATCGTGGACACTGCCCCAGCCGGCGATCCAGCAGTTGGTGTGCGGGGGGAGGTGGATGGAGGCGTCGGGCAGGCAGATGGGCAGGACCCGCTCCGAAAACTGGACGGAGCGCTCAAGCCGCACCAGGGCGATGTCGGCGCGGGAGCCCTCCCTCCAGGAGTACACGGGGTGGGGCAGCGCCCAGGCGATGCCCACCTCCTGGGAGCGCGGGCCGGGGTTCTCCAGCTGCCAGGCGCCCAGCAGCACGGAGAACTGGGACGGCTTGTTCAGAGTGCTGGGGGGGAGAGGGGAGGAGAGGGGCTCAGGCAGGGACCACCGATGGCCAGGGAGGGGTGACTGGGGAAGAGCATGCACAAGGAGACCACCAAAGCACAGGAGCCTTCCGGGGAGGAGCAGGGTCCATCCTGAGGCACCCAGGCTGTGTGAGGCGCGGGGCGTGGGGCGGGAGCTGGGGCTCAGGCGGAGGAGGCCGGCGGTCATACCCCTTGAAGCAGTGGGCGGCGGTGACCACCCAGCGCCGGGTGAGCAGGGAGCCCGCGCAGTGGTGGGTCCCGTTCTTCTGGATGCTCACGATCCAGGGCCACTCGGCGTCCGCGCTGTCCTCGCCGCCCACAATCCGGTTCAGCTGCTGCGGCCGCCCGCAGGCCGGAGGGGCTGGAGGAGCAGGTCCCGTTCTCCGTCAGCCCCTGGGCTCGGCCCTCTGCCCCTTCCGCCCGCCCGGCTCCAGAGGCCCGTGCTCCTCTGCCTCTCCCTCCGACCTTCCGCCCTGCACGCACCCCCTCCTGTGCGCCTTCTCCCCGGACCTCTCCTCCTCTCCCTCTGCCCTCCCTCTGGCTGGCCTTTCGCTCCACTCAGCTCTCAGCCTTGCCCACAGCTCTATTCCTTTTACCGTCTCGGCCATTAGCCCTTCAGCCTCCAGCTGAACTTGGCCCTCTCTCCTCCACATCCCGGTCTCTGCTCTGCCCTCCGGGCCTCCTTTCCCGCCTGCTCTCTAACCCCACCTCCCTGCCTCCTTCTGCCCTGCCCCCACAGACAGACACACAGACACTGCCCGTCCCTTCAGACTTCCGTCATTCCCCCTCCCCTCAGGGCGGCTCCTACTCACCAGGTGTCACGGCAGCATGGAAGACAGCTGAGGAAGAGAAGGAAAGGTCAGGCCTGTGTGAGAGGAGGCCCCAGTGCCCAGTGGAGAGAATGGCCCCCCCGTGCCCAGTGGAACGGGCCTCCCTCCATGCCCAGTGGAATGGACCTCCCCCATGCCCAGTGACCCCTTCTAGCCTCTCATTGCCAGGCCCCTTCAGGCCTTCCCAGGCCGGGCATTGCCTGGAGCCTGGGCATCATGGACAGAACCCTCGTGCTCTGGTTGTGAGCTGAGCCTTGCCCATCCCACCAGCTTCCTCCAGCTTATGCTCGGGGTTCGTCCCACATGCTGGGGGATGAGACGCCAGCCCCTGGGACATCTCTCACGGAGTGTGGGCACCCATCTGACCCTCTTGGGCTTCCTCCCTCTGACCTAAGTCAGTGACCAGAGACTCCCTTCACCTCCAACCCCAAGCCCAAGGCCTGGGTGCTGCTGGCCCAGAAGAAACAGGAGGGAGGAAGCCCTGACCGGTGTGGTTCAGTGGTTAGACTATCTGCCCAAGCACCAAAGGGCCAAGGGTTTGATTCTCTACCAAGGGCAGGTGCCTGGGCTGCAGGTTTAATCTCTGGCCCAGGCGCATGCAGGAGACAGCCAATCGGTGTGCCTCTCTCACATCAATGTTTCTCTCCACCCCTCACCTCCCTCCTCTCTTCCACTCGCTCTAAAAATCAGTGGGAAAAATATCCTCCAGTGAGGATCATCAACAACAAAAACATTAAAAATAAAGAAACAGGAGAGAGGGAGATGGCGATAACCATGAATTTGGTCAATAAGAACACCAGAGATGGAGCCTGTGAAACCTCTTAGTATCCACCTGCAGGGTTTCATTTAACCCTGGAGCCGTCAAATAACAGGGAGGGAGGGGGAAGTGGGGGTGAGGGGTGGGGGCCGGGGAGAGAGCAGGGAGGAGGCTGGGTTCCGGCAGGCCCTGGAAGGAAGATGGCCGGGCCTAGAGGGAGGAGGAGGCGCTCCTGAAGGGGCAGAGAGGGAGGGCCGGGAGGGCCAGCAGGGCCTCGGGACTCACCGGTGGAAGCCAGGAGCAGCAGGGAGGTGAAAATCCTGGACCGGCCCCCACCCAGGGCCGGGGGGGTCCTGGACACGAGCATGTCCGCGGGGGTGGGGCCGCGGCCTGGCGCCATGCTGTGCTGGCCACAGGAGTGCTCCGAGTTCCCTGCAGGTCAGCCCCGGTTTTATCCTGCGAGGCGGAATGCGGTCCGACCAGTCCCCCCAGTGAGTGGCTCAGTCCCTGCCACCCGGGGCTGTAGGTCACCAGGAGGGGCGTGGCTGCAGGAGGAAGTGAGCCTTAACGGGAACTGGGGGGGCTCTGGCTGAGACCCCTGCCTCCTAGCCGGACCCATGGACTCGGGCTCTGGGCCCGGGCTCGGGACACCAGCTCCAGCTGCGGGCTGGGTAGCTGGCCTCAGGAGGACCAGGCTAGGGGAACTGGACCGTGGCCTTGACCCTGACGATGGAGTTGGGGGTGCAGAGAAAGGTCCTCATAGCTCGAAAGGAAGGAGCCTGGACATCATGGACAGAACCCTCCTGCTCTCATTGTGAGCTGAGCCTTGCACATCCCATCAGCTTTCTCCAGCTGGTCCAGGGGGGAAAGGCAGGTGCTCAGACCAGGGTCTGGCTCCTCAGAAGCAGGAGACTCGGGTATGAGTCTTAGAGAGGCCCCAGGTTTTTTGGGGGGGTTGGAGGTGGCGAGGGGGCCAGCCAAGGGGATTGCCCAAAGGCTCAGTAGGGCTGCTGCTGTCTCCAGGGGCTGGCTGACCTGACTCAGCCACGAGACCTAGCCCAGCCCGGGGCTCCGGGATCCCGTTAATCCACTTACTGGGAAGCCATGAATCAGGCCCCCAGTGGCTGCCAGTTTTGGGGCGACCTTCCTGTGGGCCCTGTCACTCAGAGGCCCTCGCACTCGCCCTCTCACCCTTCACCTGCACTCCCAGGAAGCTCGGTGGGCGGGGCCAGCAGGTGCTGCCCTCGTGACTTAGGAGGCTGCCTGGAAAGGGCTGGGAGGCGGGGTCTCCCTCACTCTGCCCCACCCCTGAGCTCCTGGAAGCCCCGCCCCCCTGGGGGTCAAAGGGCCACTGCACGGCCATTGCTGGAGGAGCCCAGGGCAGGTGTGGGACCCAAGGTGCTCCACCTGCTCCTCCTCCTCCTTCGGAGCCTGTCCTGCCCCCCTGAGACCCTCACCCAGAGGCCCCTCCCCTGACTCAGTGCCCACACTCCTGACCCCCCACCCCAAGCAGGAGGAGCGGGCTTCTCCCTCCTCTGAACAGATGGCCTCTCTGTCCGTTCTCTCCGTTCGTCAGCACACCGCAAGCCGGGCCCTGGCTGCACTACGGAGGGGCACGACCAACCAATGACAGTGACCGCTGACAGTTTTCCGTGCACCAGGCTCCTCACCTCATCTTATCCTCAAATCCCCTTATTACGCTCCCATCCTGCCGATGGGGAAACTGAGGCCACTAAGAACAATTGGTGAGTTGCCCAAGGGCCCCCGGCTGGCGAGAGGTAGAGCTTGGATTTGGAACCTGAGCCTGAACTAGGCTCAGTGGAGCCTTAGGGACCTCAGCCCCGTGGATGGAGACTGGTCACCAGGGTCATGGTGAGAGGGGGTGGGGCCTCAGGAGCCCAGAGGAGGCCCCCAGGGGCCAGTGAGGGCCGCCCGGAGAAGGAGGGCCTTGAAACGGAGGCCCTGCAGAGGCACGAGGAGGAGGAGGAAGTGCTGGGTGACTCTGGGGTCAGGGTGCAGAGGGACAGCGTGCTGGGAAGGGGCTGGGGCTGCTGCATCAGATCCTCAGCTCACCCCCTCCGCTGAATCAGCACGTTTCACCCTGGAGCCTGTCCCCAGGGTGCCCCCTCCTCACCTGCTCACTCTCCCGGGTCGGCCTCTGCACCACACCCTGAAGGTCCCCCAGCCCACTCTCTTCCTGAAACTGAGGTGATGGGCCTCCTCAGCTCACTCCACACACATTGATTGGGCACCTGCTGTATGCCAGTCCTTATGCTGGGCACCGAGCACAATGGTGATAGGACACGGGTCCTCTCTTCAGGCAGCACACATGGCCCTGGGGATGGGAGGCAGGTGAACGGGTAACGACAGGGAGGTGTTAGGGGGGTGGGCACCGAGACCGTGGGCCTGGGGAGGGCGTGTCAGGAACGGGGAGCAGTGGGCATGGCCTCTGGGGGGGGCCCCTGAAGCTGGGTGCTGTGGGGTCAGTATGAGGACGCTCCCCTGATTCTGGGGGAGCTCCTGGTACACGGCAAGCCTCCACGGACATTTGCTGAAGAGGTGAATCTGGAGGGGGCCACTGGGCACTGGGGCTCCAGCCTCCCGTCTCCTCAGTGTCCCCTTTGTTCCAGATGTTCTCGCCTTTCAGGACATCTGGGCCACTGCCCAGGTGGCCCTGGAGGCAGGCATGTACCTCAGGGTGTTTCTGTCCGGGAAAAGGCCAGAGGAAGTCCCGAACAGCCAGGGAGGACTTCCTCGCACAGCTCCTGGGCGAGGGCCCGGACCGTCTCCGTGGTTCCCAGGAACTGGAGACCCCGGCATTCCACAAAGGGCCCCTGTCTGCGCCCTGGCCGGGCCTCTCTCTACCTGGGCACGAGCGGATGGGCTGCCCGTCCCGCCGCCCACTGCCAAGCCCTCTCGGGGCCGTGGGTGAAGCTGCACAAGGCGTGGATGGCAGCCCGGGCTGCAGAGGCCTCCGAGACAGCAGCCGGCGCTGGCAGAGCTCAGCCCAGAGCGGTGACTCACCGGCGGCGGCGGCATCGCAGACTGGGCACGGGTCAGGGCAGAGATAGGAACAGGGGTATTCATTCATCACCAGCCAGAACCTACCGCGCGCCGCTGCGGGCCCTGCCCTGTGAGCTGAGACGCAGCCGGGAGCAGACCTCGGTGACCCTCCCTCCCGCAGGGGCGCTGGAGGACACAGAACCAGCACAGTGAATCACTCAGTCTGATAGAGGAAGCGGTTCGGGCAGGGGGGGAGCCAACCTGGGGGGGTTAGCACAGGAGCAGGGGGGCATAGGAGGTGGGGGGAGGGGGCAGGGGTTGCAATCTTAAACCAGGACCCCAGCGCAGCACTCACTTTTGACGGAGACTTGTAGGGGAGGGGGTGAGAGTAGTGGGTGCCATCGCCGACCCTTCCAGCCCCAGGACTGGCTCGGGCGGGCCTGGCAGAGGAGAGGCCCGTGGCTGAGGGGCCTGGCTCTGCGGGGGAAGCCGGTCCCCAGGTGAGCAGCTTGGCCTCCGGGAGCCCCTGTCCTCTCGGTCCCAGCAGTGCATTCTGGGAGCAGCGCGGCCAGCAGGTGTGGACCCAGCCTCCCCGGGGGCTTTGTCGGATCTGCAGTGTTGGTTTTTCTAAATCGGGCAAATCCATCTTTAAAAAAAAAACCTGAATTTTGACGGACGCTGCTGTGAACGTGAGTGTACAAGTGCCCGCCCGGATCCTTGCTCACACAGATGCCTGGCCCTGTCCGGGGCCCGCTTGGTGGGAGCGTCATCCCCTACACCAGGGCGGTCCTGGCGTCCAACTCACGGCGACAGAAGGTAGATGAGAGCCGGGGCGGGGGGGGGGGAGGGAGTCAGTGCTCAGTGGGGACAGAGCTTCAGATTGGGAAGATGGAGACCTTCTGGAGAGGAAGGTGGTGACGGTGCCACAATGTCGTGAATATCCTCAACGCCACTGCCCTGTGCACTTAAAATGGTTAACATTCTAAGTCTTACGCACATCGCTCTAAAATGGAAATTATCTGAATGTCCACGTTTCCATGGACGTTGGAAGCTGTGGCAATGCTGGGCTCCGCTGGCTGAGTCGCCCTGTTGGCAGCACAGCCCCACCCACCCACCCCCACTCTGGGCCTGCTGGCACCCGGGTCCTTGGGCATTTCCTGCTCTTGGAGGGCAGGGCCTGGACAGAGCAGCCTCTCCACCCCCGCACCCTACCCCTGTCTTCCTCCCTCCGCCCCCCCCCACCTCAGGTAACTCAAGGCAAGCTCCCTAAGGAACCAGGTAAACAGCAGCTCCCTCCTCCACCCTGGGCCTCAGTTTACCCATCTGTGAAGAGGAGCAGGCAGCACTGCAGTCCCTGTTCTGATCACCTGCTCCGGTGGGAAGGGTTGGCAGGGGGCCTGGCAAGGCTGAGTGCTGCCTGAGCCAGGGGCTGGGCTGTGCTCGTCCGCAGACCAGGTTTTCTGGGCACTGATGGTCCTGAGGCTGGTCGGTGCTGTGGACCCTGGAGGACACTGCCCACTGGCCAGTATGTCATCGCCTCCCCGTGGGGATGTCCCTCCTCCCATCTCACCACACGCCCCGACTGTCCTGGGCGTCAGAGGGTGCTCGGGACTCCCTGCCTCTCAGAAACTCGGGTTGAACTTGGCTCCAACCCCATCCCAGGTCCCAGGTCCCAGGTCCCGGGTCCGGGTCCCAGGTCCCTCTCAGAGCCCTCCCCCAGCTCCTCTGCCTCAGATGGCACATTGTCCTCCGTCTCGGCCCAGGTTCCTCCTTCTCAGCTTTGTCCCAGCCCCAAAGCGCTGACCCTTCTCCCTCCACAAGAACCCCATCCTCACAAGGCAGGCACATCAAATCCTTTCCCCGCCTCTGGCTCTCCCACCCTGGGCTGGAGGTCAGACACGCCCCACCCCACACCCCCGCCTAAAATTCCGGGGAATACGAATTTTCCCATCTTGTAACATCATGGCCTGTCCTCTTGGCATTTCTCTAAAATGGGAGACGGCATCGCCTCCTTGCCCAGCATTCCGTTCTCTCATCTTAGGGGCCCCTCGTCCCAGCCCCTTTCTCGACACCGTACTTTCTAGAAGGCAGAGCCTTGGGAGCACTCAGGTTCTTTGAAAGCTGGACTCCTAAGGTCCGGGTGTTAACTGTGTGACACCGGGTGTCTTCGTTCTGACTGGTGTCTTCCTGGAATACAGAGCACTGCTCATTCTGTGGTCCACTAAGACCTTCGGCTTTTTTTTTTTTTTTTTTTTTTTTTTTTTTTTTTTTTTTAGGTGCAATTATACCTGCTTCTCCATCTCTTCCCAGTCTATCCCTTTCTCTGTGGCAGGTCTCTGTGGCAGCTTCCTCCCGCTGTCCTCT